ACGCTGACATGCATATTTTTATATTTCACTTGAGGAACTAACATTAAAATGAGCCTGCCATCCACAAAACATTTAAGTACTTACATGTGTAAGAACACATTCCCACAAATACATATGAAATGGCTGTAGACTGCTACCTCCATCTTCAGAAAATCTGGTGCAGTGGATGGCATAGTGTCACGGATTTAGGGTGAATGGGCTCAGTATGCAGAGATTTTATACGGACATAGTCACTGAATTAAAAGGTTTTACATTCAAAACAAATAAATATAATGCAAAAGTCCCAATTCAAGTATAAACGGTAAATACAGCAATTCCTTCATAAGAAATAAGTCTTTAAGGAAAAATAAAGTATTTTACCAGAGTTCCAGCACTTGGCAAATGAAGGAAGACTTGATTGAAACTGTAGTTGAGTTGCAGGAGATAAATCAAAGCTGGGACAGCGTTGCAGGGGTTAACTAAAGTAGAAACAGCACTGCAGGGGTTAACCAAGACTCAGGAGAGGCAGGGCGTACCATTAGTGCTTCTCTCAGTAAAATAATTTATTAATTTAAATGTAGTTATCCATTATCTTAATTAGCTACAAAGAATCTGAGCTCTCGATAGTCAACAGAATTGTTTATTTTCATTTGTAATATGAATTGTTTATTTTCATTTGTAATATTGACTAACTTTTTTTTTTTTTTTTTTTCAGGAATCTGCATTGTCTCTATGGCTTGTGTTTAGTGACATGTCCATCTCTCCAATAACTATCTATGATCCACTTGAGCTCTCACTTAGTGTTGTTTCCCCTGAACCTTCTGTGCTCTCTGTGCGTCGTAATTTAATTACAGGGAGCACTTGGTCTTTGCCAACGCTTGTGTATGAAGGCCCAGGGGAGGCCCCTTGGTTACGTTGGTCTCTGCTTATTCCAGAACGATGCCGGGATGGCGAAGCTCCAGGGTTGCTTAGTGCTGGGCGTATGTGTGTTACATTTCCCAGTAATGCTACAGGACATGGGGCACATTCTACAAGTGATATTATCCAGCGGGACAGTGACCTCCATACCAGAGACAATGACTTCTCAAGTGCCAATAATGTAATTCCAGGAACTAGTGACATAATACTGAGAAGTGATGACACCCTGTTAGAGGATGATGAATCTCATCCTGGTGCTGATGACATTGTCACAACACCAACACGTTGGGGTGTCCCAGGCTTGGAAGAAGGATTGTATGGACTTCTTGCCATATTTTCTCTTCTAACTCTCCTCTTCTTGGTTAGTTGTGTAGCTTTCATCATGAGGCACAGGAACAAGTCACCCCCTGATTGTCCTGGGAATCCAGAGGCACCCAATTGGGTTTGGCTGGAGGGTCCAGAAAGTGATGTTCCAAGGACTCAGGGAGGAGGAGGAGGAGTGAGGGAGGAAGAAGAGGAGAGTGGGCAATGGGAGGGAATGGATAGGGGACCACAAAGCCTTACAAGTACTTTTCATCCAGTAAGAAATACCCAGGGGTCTGATGCCAGCATTGGCTTACAGCCAGATACACGATCATTCTCCACACCAACAAGCCATTCTAGGGCTTTATTAGAAGCCAAGAGGCCTGAAGCAGTGACTTTCCAAACCCCACAGGAAGGTGAAAGAAAAGTAGTTAGAATGCCAGATGATCCATCTGTACGTTCCATCCTGGTGGCCAGTGAGGAGGATATCATGTGGGTATGCAAGGATATGGGCATGAGGGAACCCCAAGAGATCCTAAGTTACATGGAGAGAATAAGAGGAGAAACACCACCTCTTGGAGAGAGGAGGAGAGAGGGACCAAGGGGGAGGGGGATGGATATAGTAGGGGCCAGTGTGAGAAGACTAACTTAATGCAAGAGGAATTATGGATAGATGGGGTATGTGAAGGGCAAGCAAAGCAAGAATGAAAGAAGTTCTCAGATGAGTGCCATAGAGATATCGGGCAGAAAACTACATGTGTTTGTTTCAGAACCAATGTAAATTAACCGATAAATAAGAGTGCATCAGTGGAAAACATTATCAGTGTTTTTAAGCAATGAAGAGTTTGCAAAACTGGAATTAGAAGTTACCAAGAAAGCACAAATAATTCAGTATTATAAAAAGGAATGTACAAGGAGTTAGGTAAGTCCCTCCTGAGATATTTGAACATTAGGGTGGAGAAACTAAAATAAATGTTATTCATTTTTTTTTTTTTTTGCATTCTTTAAGGGCAATAGGTAATTATGTCTTATAAAAGGGGATTGGTATTATTGAAAGTTAAAAAGATATCAGTGGACCTAAGAATTATTGTACCTTCTGCCACTGCCATTAAAATATGTGTATTATGTTACTATCTGGTCACAAACATATTGTTTAATGAACCCATTTAAGTGTAAGTGTTTAAGTTTGTAAGTGCAATTGTCTAAAGAGAGATAAGCTGCTTCTTGTGTTGAAATTATATTGGTTTTATCTTTGCTATTCTTCTATAAGACTGAATATGATCAGTGGTGCTTATTACATAATAAAATGTGTTCAAATATGTACATATAAACCTAGGGATACACATGTGGAAATGGTTTCCTGGACATTACTATGACAAGTTTAGATCATAAGCTGGGATAATAGAGAACCTAGCGATCTAATGTAAACCTTACACTGATGGTATGGGGAGTGGATTTTGCATTTTATTTAATTATACACACCCACTATGTTATCAGTTGAAATACGTTTTCAATTTATGATTTTAATTTACAAAGAAATTCTGGTATAATCAGAGGTAGGTGGGAGCAATAAATACAAGAAAGCTAATTATTTTGTACAATGCATAATTTGTTAAACACTCTTGTGGAATTCCATAGTAATCTAGGTTGGAAATAAGACTTGAGACCATTAAAGGAACACTATAGTGCCAATAAAACCCATTTTCCTGGCACTATAGGCTCTTGGAGTACCACCCTCCCTCGGCGCTCAGGGGCTTAAAACCACTTCTGCCACTTACCTTAATCCAGTGCGGACTCCCTCAGCGCTGATAACCTCTCCTACCCCGCCTTCGTCAGCTCCCAAGCGGAGCCACATGTGCGGCAAGAGGCACATTCAAACCCGCCCATTATTATTATTACTCAGTGCTTTCCTATAGGGATCTTATTTGACGCTGGACTCACTGAGGACGTCCAGCGTCAAATAAGTGCGATTTACTTGGTGTAAATTGCGAAAGCGGCTTCTAGTGGCTGTCAGGGAGACAGCCACTAGAGGGTGGATTAACCCTGCAGTGTAAACATAGCAGTTTAACTGAAACTGCTATGTTTTCAGCTGCAGGGTTAAAACTAGGGGGACCTGGCACCAAGACCACTTTATTGAGCTGAAGTGGTCTGGGTACCTATAGTGGTCCTTTAAGATCAGCTTTTGTTTTTGTAATTTAAAAAGTCTGCCACAGAGTATAATGCAGAAACAATTCATCTCATGGTTTTTTTGTTTTGTTTGTTTTTTAGATGATAACGTATCTATACAGTGTGTTGTAACTTGCTAGAAAATGTATTAATATAATTGTATATCTTGGTTTTATTATTTAACTCTGTGCTTTAGGCATAGAGGCAAGACAAAACTAAAGATATGGACGCCAAAACAAATGCACGCTCACCTTCTTACTGCAGTTGCAGATGACCGTGTTTAGCAAGTTTTTATTTCACCAGCACAATGTACATAATACATGTTTGTACATTCTTAAAGTTGATATCCACATGCTGTTTGGATGACAGGTCCAATTTAAATTAATGTCTTGTACATGTATATAAAAAAAAAGGACACTTTCAGAACACATCATTGAGATTTATCATGTTTAGATAAAAAAAAAATATGACCACCTTACTTGTACGTAACTGTTGGACTTTATTCACACTTCAGTTAATTGTTCAACTAATAATCAGATTACAAAATATGGGCTGAAAATGTAATATATATCATTCACCTAAATGCTAAAGTTCACTTTGTAATTCAACCCAATTCATTATTAAGTGAACAGGTCCATTGGGGAGATTCAGCCCATGATATGAATGACTTACAAAAACTGAGGAACATGTTGACTGCAAACATTGAACTATGCCAAGAGAGACAGTTCCTAAAATATTACTGCTGGTGCCTAATGATGGAGCAATGGTTCAAGAGTTTTGTTTTTTTCCTCTTTCAACCTTAATTTGCTCTTGAGAAAATCAAAATCACACATACCATTTTATGGTGCGCTTTTCTTATTTATTTTTTATAAAATTAAAAGTAATTTTCTCTCTTTATCCCTTGTAGTGTATAGGTTTGACTTTGGCAGTAAGGTGTTTGTTTTTTTTTTTTCTTTCTTTCACAGCAATATGTACCTTGCCCCAGAATATTTGATGATAATTGTGGGGGGGTCTTGTGTAGTGTAATAGGATCATGTGGGATCATGAAAAGCACATACAATTTCTAAAATGTGGATGAATCACAGTCACTAACAAAAAATGGGATCTTGCAGTGTGATTTTATCATTTTAAGAAATACTCATATGTATCAAAGGGATCATTAAAATAAAGAGTCGCAAACATGTTTAAAATCACTCTGGCAACAATTACAGGGTACAGTTATATGGAGCAATAAAGAGAAGTGGGAATGGAGAATGTCATGTATATCACATTCACACTCTTTTCCTGCTAGTTACAAAAGTTGCACTGGTGATTCTGTCACATGCTGATGATTGTGGGTTATCCATAGCTGTATGTAAAAGCTCATTTTAAAGAGCTGTCCTGGTACCATGTTTGTGAATCTGTCCATTATCAATGATGTCACATCCTGCTGTGTCCCATGTAGATGAGGTATATACATTCACTCTGCACACATTGGGAAAGCTTAATCAAAGCACAAAGTTATCTTAAATTGTAATAAAATTTTATGAAATATCAATCTGTTTTTTTGACTTTCATTTTTACCGGTTTTTGTTTGGGTTGATCCTCACCCTTCGTAAGAAATCCTCATTGCTGTGTCGGATTTGGGTTGAGAGATACCAACTGGCATTTAAACACTGTCATCTGTGGCTTTTATGGTTTAATAAAAACATCACTATAAATTAGTGGAATGCTGAGTATTCCTGCTTTCAACTCTGTTGGGGACTGGGAAGAGGGTAGCATGCAGTCTATCACCTGCACTTAAGTATTCAGTGACTGCCTACCACAATACTTTTTTACTGTGGCGCTATCCATTTAGTCAAGCTAAATAAAAGTCTTAGCAGGCCCAAGACAGGTCACGTATCACCATAGATAGTGACATTGTCAACAAATTAAAGCATGACATTAAGGAGAATTACTTTGTAATTATAGCACTATTCTATTGAACATTTACTTTTATGTACCCTAAGAAAGTCAAAAGGTGTTAAATTAATACTTAAAAATTGAATTTCTAGTAATGTAGTCCCAAAGTATGTTTTTCAATCCCTAAATCTCACTAAAGCCACCAATCTTTATAAGCTGGTGATTAGTCCTCTATGGATCATTTAGTTGTCAATGCACAGCATTAACAAGGAAGTAAATGCTGGGCAAAGGGGGGTGGATATGCAACTAATGAAAGGTATGCTTTTGGGCCTTAGGAAATATTTGTACAAATTTTAATACATTTATATTGTTTTGCAATTATATGGATTAAAGAAATATCCTTTCTTTTTTTCCACTGTTCTCCTGCAAAACATCTTTTAATTGAATCCTCCAGTCCAAAACATTGATCCTAACCCCTTTGAGATAATATTCAAAACTTTGAATTACATTGCTTAATTTCCCTAACAGAAAATTCTGTTGCTAGCCATACCATGCCCAATGAGCATGATTTATTGTTTAATCATGAAAAATATATGGTTAATGAATGTGATGTGCATAATGGTTACATAATAGGGGTGGTATGACTCATCTAGCTGCAGGAATGTGCAATTTGTTGATTACAGGAAAACAGATGTAAATTTGGTTTCTTCCTGCATACCTTTGACCAGGTTTGAAACTTTGCCTCAGAGGGCATTCACGTATACTTTTCCACAGAATTGCAGGCTGTATACCTTTCGGTGTGGTGTTCCAGCACAGGTCTCTGGCCATCTGGTGGACCTTTTCCTGAATTTATGTATATAAATTTTTCTCTAAATTGGACAAATGTGAGTTAGGAGGTGTCATCAAACTGGGATGTCTACAGTCATGCCCCTTGAAAACTTGAGATGAATGCAAAGGGTATAAAATCCAATGACATGTAAATTAATAGTGTACTCACTGGGTGACATCTAATTTTGAGTAATTTTACATGTTATTTGCTGGAGTCCTCCTGGAACAGAAGATACAGTTACCGTGCTAGCAAAATTAGTAACTAGGATTTTCTATTAGCTTTCTCTTTATTTGTTGGTGCATTTAACTTGTTCACTATTAATATTATATGTAAGCACTGGGACAATTTTTAGTCATAATAAATGTTTTTATTCATTTCTGCCTTTTCTGGTGTTAGATTCAAGTTACTTGAAGAGAACTAATTAATAGTATTTTATTTATTTCTATCATTAAGTGTGGGTCGTGAGGTATTTTTTATTTTTTTTTTATCATTTTGGGTCTAGTGCAGACAAATAGTGGTTTTAAACCGGTTCATCTACATAACTAAGACACATGCCTGCTTGGAGTAGTTGCTGTCCTTTACATGAAAAATCCTGCTACCCCTTTTTTAATGTCCTCTTATAAAGCTCCACTCTCCAGAAAATATTACCACTCCACTTCAAAATATCCTCCCATTAGGTCCATCAGAGTATTCACCATTCCCCTAAAGAAAATGTTTCATTAGCAACTCCAGAACATCCTCTCATTAACTTCATTTCCAGGTTATTTACATTTACAACATCCATCTTTTAAACTAACGCCTTCCCCTGAAGAGCATTCTTTAATTGACCTTTAACCCTGCCATTATATAGTTCCATTACCCTCACCCCACAGAATATACATGCATCAACATTTCCCAGAGATACAAGCAGAGGAGACACAATGAGGATCAGAGACTTTTATTTTCATGTCATAATTCAAATTTGCATTTGTCACTTTCAAAATGGTATATGCAGCAAATTGTGATTACAATTGTGTCTGACACATTACAAACATGTCGTGATGCAACATTCCTGATGACTAGGAAAAAGCAAGTGACAGGATTATTAAACTGTGTTAATTCTGACTGCAGGGAAAAAGATTAAATAAACATAAACAAAATTAACCCATTCATTGCTGAGGTGTCACAACAAACCGCTTTTTGTCCTGAGGCTACACATATTTGTGGGGATTAAGGGGCAGGAAGTTGCTTATAGCTCCAGTGGGGGAAAAGAACTGAAACCATGTTTTAAGAAGTAATGGAAAGGAAAGAGGAACGTGAGTAAATGAGCAGAAGTATAGGTGTAATTTAGGCAAGAGGAGCCATTGCCACGTAGTTATTGGCTCTGTCAAACACCACATAGTATTCACGAATAAATACATCTCCCAGAATCCACAAGTCTCCTGAGCTGGTCGGGAGGTTCATGGATTGGAATCCACTGGTGCATCCTTGCTGGTTCTGTGGGAATAACTACATGTTAGACACTGAAGCAAACATCATATCGGTGTCATATGCAGTGTGATTACGGCCATCCATATATAGACAACTTAGTGGAAAATGTCCAACATTGAACTTCTTGCATTATTACTGAGATCAGTGTGTACATTTATTGATGTTTATTGTCCAGACTGGGGATGGATTTAACACTAGCAGATGACTAAAACTAACATTCAAATTTTTTTCTTTTAATATTGCTAAAGTAATTTATATGAGTGGCCCTCAATTCTTCAGGACCAACAATAGTCAAACCTTTAGGGGTCATCTACTTCTGTATTCCATATATAGGGATAAAAAAAACAAAAAACTGGACAATAGGGTGAGCTCTTGGGTCTCTCTTGAGAAATATGGTGTAGATTATCAAAGTTTGAGGGAATTCTTGACACCAGAAATATCATTGTGCCAGGTTAATCTCCAGATGAACTCATATAGTTGTTATATATATGTGCCAGTATTGGTCATGTTAAGTGATGCCTCTATATATTTGGCTAATTACCAGTAGTTTGGTTTTGTCTGTAGATATCTATTCAGTATCATAATAGCTTTGAGAATCAGTTTACCTGGCGCACGTAGGCACTGGCTGGCAGTGGGAACTGTACTCCATTGATGGTGAAAACAATAGTTGGCATGCTGCTAATGCTGTTGCAGTTGATCACATACTGGGAAAGAGAGAGAGAGAGGCAATGATAAATACGCTATCTGCTCCTTGTATGTACAGCTGGCTTTTGCTTTTAACCCACATGACTGTAATCTAACAGTGGGACACCTGCAAGAGAAATAGCCTGACTGTGAAACGTACCTGCCCATTGGAGTCCTGGGTTGCTCCGATGTAGTACTGAATGTTGGCAATGGGGTTTGAAGGTCCAGCAAGGAGAGAGGTACCGGTATCAACAATGGCTTGGCAGGAGCCACTGCATGCAATGGCTTGTCCATTGATAGATATGCTGAGAAAAGAGGAAAATTATTGCATTACTTTTCCTTCAATCTTGTTTAGCCAGCTAGTGCATGGAGGGACTTCAGGGCCTATTAGCTATGTTCTGGACTACTGAATTAGTTGACCACTAAATAGATATTTGCTGGGTTTCTTAAAAACCCTATTAAGCTTTTTGGATCAGAAACGTCAGCCTACATTTATAAAACAAAATATCTTCTTTGCTGTTATTCCCATATTAAAATTGTAAGGTTCTGCAGGATGTGTTGGCGCTCTATAAATACCAATAATAATATGAACTATGCAACTCCCATTGGACGTTTATTTGCAGTCTGCGGATGGTGGACTGCAAAAGAGCTTCTGCTAAGATCATTAACGGAGAGAAAACATGGTTCAGATATTTTCTATCTGATTTGTGTGCAGTACATCATAAGAACATTATAAATAACATGTTCTTAAGCATAACGTGACTTGAGAAGTTACCTTTATCTCTATGTAAGAGAATGTGCCTAATCTTTTGCGTTGTATTGCTGTACCCATCAGCAGGAAAAGGTATTCTACACTGTTACATTGCAGAATTTGTTGCACATTCAGTGAATTCCTTAAATAACAGTATCACAAGTTTTTTGGACACATGTATATCAGTACTGAAACCGTTAAATGGCACTCTATATGACAAATGTTTTGTGCAAGGTTGCACTAATAACCATTCCTGTGCAACCTTTCAAAATGTATTTTTCTCAATACCCTTACTGTGAACAATGCTTTACTTACCTGTCAACTGTGATCTGCCAGTAGGTTTCAGCTGTCAGAGGGATCCAGTTCAAGCTTCCGCTGTAGTAAGAGGTGTCCACCCCACCAAAGAGAACGAAGCTGCCACTCTGCCCATTACTGAAGGAAAAAATATGGAATCCTTATGTAATACCATGATTTAAACTATTTAATGCTGTATTTTATCTTCTACTTAAAAACATTTGTCTTTTTAACCCCTTAAGGACCAAACTTATGGAATAAAAGGGAATCATGACATGTCACACATGTAATGTGTCCTTAAGGGGTTAATTAAATACACACTTGAGCTTCCAGAGACAGCTTAAGACAAAAACGAAGAATTCTATTTTTATTTTATTTTTTTTAATAATTTTTAATTTTAGTAGTGCATAGAAAAGGAACACAAGAAGTTAATAACATGACATTAATAGTTTATATGAGAAGGTAAATTGCATATACATAACAGGTCATGTTAAGAGACCTGCATTTTTTTTTTGTATAAATCATTTAAGAGGCAAGAAATATAGACATGAGTAAAATATTGAGCAAAAATAATAGCAAGCATGTTATGCATGTCAAGAAGAGCACTCATTTTGATAGTGTACTAAACAAGAGTATGTTGTTGCTTATGCTAAGGCCATTGTAAGGAAATTACAAGAGAATCCAAGCAATTCTGCAAGATTATCAAAGCCCTGGCTAGAAAGACCGCCAGTACATAGGTATGGTGACATTTTTAGTATCTATGCCAGGCAGTATTCATGCTAGGCAGTGTCAAACAAGTATTAACGGATAAAAACGGAGACTAGCAAATCATAAAAAAAGGAAGCTGGTAGTAAGTACCCAATAGTAATCGGTATGGCAACTTTTAAGAGCTAAGGAGCTTAATGTATGCTTAAATACAAGATTTAACAGAATGACAACCTATGCCTAGAGAGGATAAACTCAGTGGGCTGCAGGGCCGACCAGAGACAGGTCCAAGGAGATGATCAGAGTAGCCAGTTTTTCTTGTTTTTAAGTAATTTTACTCTGCTGCTTGTATCTAAAGTTCATGATATAATACTGTAACTTTATATTCATTGTAATATGTATTTATTATATATTGCTTACTTTCAGAATGCTCTCCAACATAATTGAGAAATCTCTAAATTACCTTGTATGGTCATGAAGGTCTAGTTTGTGAATGAGTATTTTAGCTGAAAAATTACTAAACTTCACGTATTTTCATAAACCTACCACATTGGAATTTAACTGTGTAGTGCAATATCTATGTTATATTTCATGGTTACAAACTCACGAGCTAAGATAAACAGAGAAGAGGTCCTGAGGAATGAGGCCTTGACTCCACATGTTGTCAAAGACTGGTGTAGCCTGAGAAGATGCCAAGCTTGGGAAAGCCAAACCCAAGATCCCATCGAATGGAGAGTAGTACAGGAAAGAGCCGGGCTCGGACTGGCTGAGTCCGAATATCTGGTTACTAATAGCAATGTTTCCAACCTATTTTGAGGGAGAACAGAAAATAAAGGTCAATACGATTTTCTGATAATATATTAGTTTCAAGATGTCCCAGTTTACAGAATGTTCCTTCTCACCTGCACTGTGTCGTATCCCAAGTAGCCAGTCATGCTGCCGGTACCATACTGGATAGACAGTGGTGTGTTAGTGGCTTGAAATGTTGATGACTGTTGTGGATTAAACATGTGGTGATTGGCTATTAAGAGAAGAGAAAAATGTCAGGGATCTTGTATACTTGCAAAATGTTACAAAGCTTATTATGCTGGGGAGGATGTGAGCATTCCACAACTTTAAATATCTGTAGAACTCTTCCTCTAGTTAAAGGTACTCAGCCACTACTTTGCTCAGTGCGTAAAGGGTGCGCAAAGCAAAATAATTTCTTAGTTTGGCACTAAACCATCTGAGTGTTAAACATAGCCGTATTAAGGGTGAGGTATTAGATTAATCCTAATGGTTATCCAGAAGTAATATAGGATATATACCTAATATGATAAAACCTATTTGAATTGGTTTTTAAATCAATACTCTTAAAAGATCAATACTCATAAAAAAATCAATGCTTATATACATTAACATTCACAATTGTTACACCATTTGTTAACCTTATTTGGTATGAAGTGTTAAAAGTTCTGGTCAATAAAATAAATCCAGTGTTATAAAAAGAGTTGTTTTAAAGTCCACAATAGTTGCAACTTGTATAATCTTTGCTGGATACAAATTGTATAAATAGTCCTTTCAAATGTTAGCTGATAGTGGTTATCTTCAGTTACTATGTAAACTGGGGTATATCTGCTAAACAAGCGTTTTGATATATAGAATTCTTCTTTAGATGATGTGTATGTATGTTTTCCCCTCACCTCCTGCTTCCCTTCACTGGTGGTGAAGTGGGGGAGCTTCCCTATCCGCACCAATTTTGCTGACCAACCACTTAAAGAGTGTTCTCACTCTTCCAGCGCACTCAGTCATTAAGAAATGCCAGGGGACCGTGAGGGTGTCCTTAAAGTGGTCTTTATTTTTTTTAATCTCACTGTCGGTTCAAGGAGGACCCACTCAGAGTCGAAACCCCAGGGTCAGGCAGAGGACCAACGGCCCATGTCTGAGCCTGGGCTCTAGTCGGCTGCCTTGGTCACCTAATGGGCAATCAGGCTCTGGTGATACAAACAAAATCCAAGTGCACATCGAAGTCAATGTAGATTTATGTTTGTGTTTGCACAGTTTTTATATGCTGTGTTAGTAGTAAGTTAGCCGATTCCTCAGTCTCGAAATGGACATGATTTAGAACTCCTCATTTAGAACATGTGAATATGCTCCTTTGCATGCAAATTAAGACTAACAAGTTTGAAGGTTACTCACTACATGCAGGACTGGAGCAGTACACAGATGGAACCCACAGGTTAGAAGATCCAGTATCAAAGATGACAGTGAACTCCTGGGCTGGTGTGCCAATGGAAATTGTGCCGAAATATTCAATCTGTCAGAAATATGAAAATGGGTTCATTTGCACAGAACTGAAAGTGAAACATCTTAAGAAGCCTAAAAACATAAATACACATTACCTGTAAAAATGTATCCGACTTTTAAACAGTAGACTGTGAAGACTGATGTATGAGTCATATTATGACTACAATAGTTTATAGTTTAAATAGTTACGCCAAGCATCATAACCACTATAGCCTGTTATAGTGGTTATGATGTGAGGAGTACCCTGATGCCATGCTTGCAATGGTTTTCCTTCTTACCTGGGTCTCTGCCAGGTGCTGAGCTCCCCGAGTCACCCTCTGTGCATGGATATATGCACAGCATTTGGTTAGGTAGCCCAACAGCACTATAGTTACATAGTTGTCTAGGTTAAAAAACAAACTAGTCTGTCAAGTACAACCTTGAAACTGATTATTTTATGACATTGATCCAAAAGAAAGCAAACACCCCAATTGTAGCCCTTTCAAATTATGCCACATAGAGGGAAAAAATTCTATAATGGCAATCAGATTACTCCTTGGATCGACAACTTGTTTACATGCATATCGATTATATCCTTATATATTCTGTTTATGCAAAAGAGCATCCAAGCACTTTTCTAAAAATATATCTAAAATATCTTTGTATATGTATAATGAAGCACTGCACATACAAACTCCAAGCATATTTAACCACTTCAAAACACTTAAGCGGTCATGGCATTTGGAGTACCCCTTTAATTTTATTGATATTTGAAATAAAATACAATGGAAGAGATACTTGTCAAGAAGGGCATGGGTATTGAACTGGTAAAAAAAGGGATTTGCAGTAAAAAGTGTGAGAGAACTACACACAAGCATTGTATGTGCGTTACAGTTCAGGGATATGTAATTAGTGTCCAGTGACCAATATGCCATATTAATTTAGACTGAAAAACATAAGCTGTTACTTACATCCATGTAGTTTTGCAGAGGCTCACCAGAGGCCTGAGCTAATTCGGGGAAGTACTTGGTGGCAGGATTGTATGGGTGTTTATCAAGATAATCTCCAAGCAGTCCCAGTCTCTTCAGACGGTTCCTGAGAGATTCCCCCTTTCTCAGGGGAACCCTGAAAAAATGTAGATATATTATTAATAAATGCTTGTACTTTGCATAATCAAAATACCAATTAAATGATATATGGCATATGGCTAGCGTTTGCTTTAAGGGTGTTTATGAGTGGTTAGATATGCTCTTCTCTTATTAAATTATAGTCCTCGATTTAATAAGCTTGCCAAATGATTCAATACTGTAAGAAACACTTTCTAAATTACGTATCTACAGAAATTCCCATATTCTGCAACTAAGGGTGTTTTTTTAAAAATTATTTAGGGGAATTAGAATTAGGGTTACTTAACTACAAGTACACAAATCCCAAATATAAACAACAAAACTAAATACATTTACATTTTTGTGCTTCTTCTGAGTGAAATAAAAATATAATAATTCCGTTTGCTTTAAGGATGGATGTTTGGAGTGAGTAATGCCTATAAGCATATTAATTATACATAGAACTCTGCATTTTATAGACATTATAGATAGAGAGCTGATAAATTAACAGATACACATACACAGGCGCAAACGTTAGAAAAAACTACATGGTATATTAAATTCTTTCTCTATTCTTAAATTGAAATTGAGAATACAATTTCTTCATGCCGTGCCCTTTTACTGGATCTATCCTCCCATTAAAAAAAACACACCAAAAGTTCATAGAAAATAGAAAAGATTCCTGAAATGCAAAATAGATAGATGAAGAAAGCCAGCAAATTACATACTTCACCAAACATTCTGATAGAACCACCAGCCCCAGAAGAAGTAGGATCTTCATTATTCTTCTTGTGTCCACCTCAGTTTTCAGGGAAAGGAGTCTCTGGTTGGTGTATGTGATTCTGAGTATGTAGGTACCAATTATATATAAATCTGAGACTCCTCCTTCTGCCCTTCAGGAGAGCTAGATCTGATGGGACTTCATCCATCACCTTGCAGAAGGTGATAACGGCCACCGTATCTTTACTTGAACACTGGTTATCAAAAGAAGGCCATGCGTAGCCAAAAAAGAGAGAAAACAAAATAGAAAAACGATAAATAGGAGAGTGGATAATTAAAGGGATACCTTAAACACCATAACTACTACAGTCCAATGTTTGATACATGACTGGTTAAGGTTTTCTCTGTATTGGCACATGTGAGATAAAACCCTCACAACACCTAAGCGGGGACTCATCGAAGGGCAGAGCTGTTGTCTTTTCTTAGTGTTCCCACTCAGGTTATTATAAAGTATTGTTAATGTTCTTTAATACCACTTGCATTAACGTTTCTCTTGCCAACAAACAGACAGATGCACCTGACATTCCAGATGAGTAAATCTTGTCAACACGTTTTCATGGCCAAAAGCACACTTTCCATTTCATATTCAGACTTCTAGGGCACATATTCAACACAGAAAACCATACTCAGTAGAGAAATTTCCAATTATTGCAAAGCACTAACTGAAGGTGGAATACATTTTAAGAACTATTTTATTTTATATTCAAGCATAAAAAATAGTGCATCATGGCATGTCCTAAAACTGGTATTTAAAAAATATTTAAATGTAATTTTAAACTAGGGTCTCGATTTACTAAGTTTTCCAAACAATTCAATACTGTCACAAAAAAATTACAACTAATTATGTACAGAAGTCAACATTAAAGAATATGGGAATTTCTGTAGATACATAATTTAGAAAGTGTTTCTTATTGTATTGAATCATTTGGCAAGCTTATTAAATCGAGGCCTATAATTTAATAAGAGGAGAGCATATCTAACCACTCATAAAACACATAAAATGCATAAACTTTGTGAATTAATAAGTTGTTCATTTTGGTTGCAAATAATTGGCAATTATTAGTAGTCAGCAACTTTATTTTAGCATCTCCTATGGGCATACCAAAATGGAGTATTGCAAAATATTACTGCTGCAGTAATTGGATGATATACGTCACAATGACATAGTTGCAATTGCGACCATTCTAAGGTATCCCTCTATGCATTGATCCAGAAAAAGACCGAATTGATGTAGATGATTTCTGATATAGATATTTAAATGTACAGTCAATGCATCAAAATAACTACAGCTCATTATATTGGTTGTAGTGCTTTTATGTTTCATGGGTTAGTTAAAAAGAGCCACTGTCCTGAAACTCATTAGCAGAAACATGAAATCAATACGTCTCAACTGAAAATATTTTTTTCCAAAAGAAAATACCAAAAACATAAATATCTATCTAGCCAGTTGTGTTTTATGGTCTTTTTAGAAGCCCACATTTACAGAGAGAGATGTACAAGAGATATCTATTATGCTGTTGCAGTATATTATTATTATATTTATATAGCGCCAACAAATTATGTAGCGCTTTACAATAGGTGGACTAACAAACATGTAATTGTAACCAGACAAGTTTGACACACAGAAACAGAGAGGTTGATGGCCCTGCTCAATGCTAGAGGAGTATATAGTATAGGAGTGGGCCCCCTCTATTATATTTTATGTACTTCCTAATGTCTTTATTGAACCCTAATTGCAACTATATGCGAATACCAGGGTGAGCCCCTGCAGTCAGTTGCTTGGGTGTCATATCCAGTGGGATATTTTTAGTTTGTGCTGCCATAGGCATAATAAAACTCTGGCACCCCCTCCAATCTAAATTTGCCCCACCCCTTCCTGTCAAGGCCACACCTCTTCATTTTTAAGACCAACATGCACTTTGACTGACCGATACACACTTACACACCCACTCACTGACATGCACACACTCTCAGATAGACATATAGTGACATGAATTCACTGACAGGCACACACCGACATACACACACATACACACTCACTGACAGACACACTGACACACATTCACTGACAAACACATACTCACAGGCAAACACATTTACTGACAGACTTACACTGACAGACAGACACCCACACATACACTGGCAGGCAGACACACACTGACACACATTCACTGACACATACACACACACACACACACACTCACTCGCTCACTCACTCACAGACATACACTGACAGACACATACATGTCATATGTAATTCAATTTTAAATCCACCCAGCCTCCCTACCTTTGGGAGAGCTGGAGTGGATTCTTCCCTGGGATCCACTGCTGGGCTGGCTTCTGTGTTGAAAGGTGGCTGGGCGGGCGGTCAAATTAAGGTTCCCTCACCGCCTGCCTACAAAATAAACAGCTGCCCACCTGAGCTCTTGGGCATTCAATTAAACAAGGCTAACAGAGCATCTGCCAGGGTGTTTGTTGGGCTGGTGTTTTTTGCTGCCCCCAAACCCCTTAAAGGGCCGCACAAAGCAAATGCCTTGTTAGCCTCACACCAAATACAGCCCTGGTCATATTCCTGCATTTTGTTCTGGTATTGCCTAGTGCCTGATGTGCACCCGATATTGGTGCCCTACCTTGTACCGAATATTGGTGCCTGTCTCGTGCAGTCCATTATGCATCCACATTGTGTGAACACACATCACTGTATTTGATATATTTTAGTGGGCAGTACTGTTACGATACAGTCCATTGCATATTATGGAAGAGTCTACCCCTGATATTCAGGTCATGATTAATACAGCCTTCTCAGCCTCAATGGAAAATGTGGTTGCAAAGGCATTCAGTTATCTGCCTTCAGCCATAGCCCAACGCACACCTACCCGCAAGCCAGGGGAGTCAGGCTCAGAGTCTCACAAAGAAACAGATCACTCTACTAGAGCTCAGATATGCCTATCCAAATATAGACACTGGGAATGAGATTCTAGACTCACTAGATAATCTAATCTAAGTTTCCCTGCCAAAATAGAAATGGTGTCCAAAGTCAGATAAAGGTGGTTTCCTCGCTTTCCTTAGATAGGACAGATGTCCATTTGCCTCCCTCCTTGTCAGTGGTGGATGAGGGGCAATCTAAGAAATCAGCTTCAGACATGGAGCATGGCTTAGAAGAGAATGCCCGCCTTACCTCCTGTTACGTCCATGCATCATTTGTGGGTGAGTACCTCATAGCAAGACTCACAAGGATAGGCAGCCACAGATACAGACATCATCCTGTTTTCCCAGGGAGTTTAAAGGTTTGCCCATGCAAAAACCGCCACCCACAATAAGGGAACTGGGTCCGTCTGGATCACATATCAAAATTCCTTATGATTAAGAAAAGCTTGGAGGTCTGTACCCACCTTCAGGCAGGCAGATTGTTGAGACCTACCTTTACCCTACTGGACAAGGTGAGCCAAATCACAAAGTTTGAGGAGACCATGGTCACCTATATGGCCTACAGTGGCTGGTGCCCTTGTAAGGGTATCAAACGTTACCTCCATGTTGTGTAAGATAAACTGCTTGACATCATAGGGCTGTTGGCACAGATTCTGCATTTTGTGGATGATGCCCTGTCCTAGGGGATGCAATTAGGTGTCAACACTATTCAAGATGGGCCCAGAGAGCCGTGTGCCTATTGGGCAACACAAATGGTTTTATGAAGCACAGGTAATGTCAAACTAACTTGATTGCATTCTATGAAGAAGTAAGTAGAAGTATAGACCAGGGTGTTGCAGTGGATGTGATTTGGATATTGCCAAGGCATTTGATACAGTTCCACACAATAGATTAGTGTTTAAACTCAAAGAAATCGGTCTAGATTAAAATTATTGTTATTGGGTAGAATATTGGCTTAAAAATAAAGTACAAAGTTGTCATTAATTGTAAATTTTCAAGCTGGACAGAGGTGGCAAGTGTTGTCCCTCAGGGTTCTGTTCTGGCACCTCTTCTATTTAACATGTTTATAAATGATCTTGAAAAAACATTGAAAGTCATGTTTCAGTGTTTGCAGATGACACAAAACTCTGTAAAATAGTACAACCTGAGCAAGATATTAATTTGCTGCAGAGGGATTTAGATAGACTGCGGGACTGGGCACTCAAATGGCAGATGAAATGTAATGTTGAAAAATGCAAAGTTATGCACTTCGGCATAAAGAATGCACAAGCAACGTATACCCTTTATGGAGTTAGGGATAACAACACACGAAAAGGACTTGGGAATTGTTATAGACAACAAACTATGCAACAATGTCAATCAGCAGTGGCTGAGACCAGTAAAGTATTGTCATGCATGAAAAAGGGCATTCATTCTCAGGATGAGAATATCATTTTGCCTCTTTATAAATCACTGGTGAGACCACAGTTTGAATATGCTGTGCAATTGTGGGCACCTGTTCTAAAGAAGGATATTATGGCACTAGAAAAAAGTGCAGAGACGGGCAACAAAATTAATAAAAGGAATGGAACATTTCAGCTATGAAGAAATGTTAAAGGGACACTATAGTCACCAGAACAACTACAGCTTATTGAATTTGTTCTGGTGAGTAGAATCATTACCTTCAGGCTTTTTGCTGTAAACACTGTCTTTTCAGAGAAAATGCAGTGTTTACATTACAGCCTAGTGATAACTTCACTGGCCACTCCTTAGATGGCTGTTAGAGATCCTTCCTGGGTCATGGCTGCCTAAAATGCATCCAAACATTCAGTGTCTCCTCCCTCTGTATACAGACAATGAACTTTCCTCATAGAGATTCATTGATTCAATTCATCTCTATGAGGAGGTGCTGATTGGCCAGGGCTGTGTTTGAATTGTGCTGGCTCTGCCCCTGATCTGCCTCTTTTTCAGTCTCAGCCAATCCTATGGGGAAGCATTGTGATTGGATCAGGCCACCACTTCTAGCTAGTTTTTCTGAGGCAAACAGCATGTAGATCTACAGCCTCAGGCTTTTATACAGTAAGATTTTACTAT